TTTTAAAAATTCGAATAGTCATATATAATTAGCATATGAATGATAGTAAATTAATTGTTAAAAACTCTAATTAACATATGTAAATGCCACCTGCGTGATTTAAAACTTTTAAAAATTGTAATTATCGCATATAACTAGCATATACATGATTTAAAATTGTTAAAACCTCTAATAATCGTGCGTAATTAACATATGCCATACAACAATTGATTTATATGGATAATCAATACATCCAAAATAGTTTACATCGTGTACACAATAATTACGGCAATACATTGGCGGTGACGGTTGACCGCACGTACTTTCTCCTCACTATTGTTCCCTCCTTGTGATCGCTACGTGAGTAAGGGGTGTCTTCATTTGATAGGAGGATGCTAGGGTCAATCGTCACCGTGAAAGGGGGTTGCCCATCCAACTGATCGTAATCCTCGTCAGTCTTGTCCTCAACTCCGACGATTTTTCTTTTGCCTGGGAGAACCACGTGACGCTTAGGCTCGTCAGGCCCTCTGCCCTTCTTTCCTTTGCTAGATATGTCCTTCACGTAAAAGACTTGCGTTACATCATTGGCAAGGACAAAAGGTTCATCCGAGTATCCAACCTTGTTAAGGTCAACCGTTGTCATCCCACTGTCATCAATCATTACGCCTCCACCAGTCAACCTAACCCATTGGCACCGGAACAGAGGGACCTTGAGAGGACCATAGTCAAGTTCCCATATGTCCTCGATGGCACCGTAATACGTGCCAGTTGTTCCATCGTGTCCCATGGCATCGACACGAACAACGCTGTTTTGGTTCGTGCTCTTCATGTCTTGGGCTCTCGGGTAGAATGTGTACCCATTGATCTCATATCCTTGGAATGTCACGATCGACCCAGACGGTCCCCTCGCCAGGAAGGCAAGTTGTTGGTTGATCGACTCGTTACCCATGAGATGTTGTCGTAGCCACGCGGGGAAAGTATCAATGTGATGCCATGTAATCCATGCATCGGACTTACCGATGTTCCTGGCGCGAACTAGAGCCAAGTGTTCCTTGATGTAAGGAGCTACTAATGAAGATTGTTGCAGAACCGTGAAATGGGCTTTACGGAATAAATTGTTGTCTACCGTCATTATTCCTTTCCTTCCGAGAGTTCCCTTTCCCCATAGTCTCCCTTTATGGCGTGATTCAGGTACCTCGATTGGGCGAAGTTCTTCAATAAATTCTACGCAAAATTCGATGACCTCCTCTGTTCCATAACCCTTGGCGATGCTTGCCTCTAGACGAGCACGGTTACGAACATACTTCTTCAGAACGCCCATGTACCTCTCGAAAGAAAACATGTTGGTGTAGGTACACAGGCCCGAGAATACTGATCTCTTTGACAAGATGACAAAGCAGATGCGTCATTATATTGAAAAATGAAGGTGGAAATATCAACTCAAAACTGACGAGACATTGCACCACATCATTCTGAAGGGCTTCTAATCTATCCGGATCGATGACCTTCTGCGAAATTGCGTTCATGAATGCACATAGCTTTGTTATTGTTGCCCGGACATTGTCTGGAAAGATACCCCTTATTACAACTGGTAGCAGTTGTGTCATCAACATGTGACAGTCATGAGACTTTAGGTTTGTGAACTTCTTCTCCTTCGTGCTTATTATTCGCTTGATATTCGTGGAGTATCCAGACGGTACCTTTATGCTCTCCAAGCATTCAAACATACTTTCCTTCTCTGCCTTGCTAAGAGTGTAGCTGGCTGGACTCAAGTAATGGATTCCTTTCTCCTTTGGTTCTGGGTGAAGGTCGCCGCGTTGTTCCATATGCTTCAGATCATTACGTGCTTCCAGTGTATCTTTCGACTTTCCGTATACACCTAGGAAGCCAAGAAGGTTTATGCAAAGGTTCTTAGTGAGGTGCATCACGTCGATTGCGTGGGGGACGTCCAAGAATTTCCAATAGGGTAACTCCCAAAATATAGAGTTCTTTTTCCACATCGCCGCGTGACCATCTTCGCTCTCTATAGACTGGCTTCCAGGCCCCTTTCCGAACACTACTTTAAGATCTTTAACCATAGCAAACACTGTTTTCCCGCTGCGATGTTTAGGCTTCGTACGGTGGTCAGCCTTATGTTCGAAGTGCTTGCTTTTCTTCCATACCGGGTGGTTTGCTGCAAGGAATCGACGATGACCCATGTATACAACCTTCCTACAGTGTTTAAGATACGTACTTTCTGTTTCATCCATACAGTGAGTGCAAGCCTTGTACCCCTTGTTGGACTGTCCGGATAGGTTGCTAAGTGCAGGCCAATCGTTGATGGTTACGAACAGCAGCGCTCGTAGGTTAAACTCCTCCTGTTTGTCCTCGTCCCAAACGGGAACACCTTCCTTCTTACACAACAATTTAAGATCTTCGACCAGTGGTCTTAGGTACACATCGATGTCGTTACCGGGTTGCTTGGGGCCTTGAATAATAATCGGCATCATTATGTACTTCCTCTTCATGCATAGCCAGGGGGGAGGTTGTAGATACACATCGTAACGGGCCAAGTGCTATGGCCGCTGCTCATCTCTCCAAAAGGATTCATGCCATCCGTACTCAAACCAAACCGTATGTTTCGTGCGTCCTTTCCAAAGTCTTTAAATTTTCTGTCGATGTTTCGCCACTGCGAACCATTGGCGAGGTGTCTCAGCATCCCGTCCTGTTGACGTTCTTCAGCGTGCCATCGCATCATTCTAGCATTCCCCTTGTTCTTGAACAAACGCCTTAGCCGTAGTATTATAGGGAAATACCACATCACCTTAGCAGGAATTCTCTTCTTTGTTAGCTGCCCGTCAACTTCTCCTGGATCGTCTCGTCTAATCTTGTATCGTAGTGCTTTGCAAACAGGGCATGCTTCTAGGTTCTCTTACTCCTCACCGCGATATAGGATACAATCATTCGGACATGCGTGAATCTTCTGAACTTCCAGTCCTAGAGGGCAGACTATCTTCTTAGCCTCGTACGTTGTCTCGGGCAATTTGTTTCCCTCTGGAAGAATGTTCTTGACGAGTTTCAATAAATCGCCAAATGCCTTGTCACTAACCCCATTTTTTGCCTTCCATTGCAAGAACTCCAGAGTGGTATCCAACTTTTTGTGCCCCTGCTCGCAACCTGGGTACAACGACGTTCTATGGTCCTTTAACATCTTGTCCAATTTATGGGCCCCCTTTTCACTTTCGCAGTCCTCCTTGGCGTCCTGCAACATCTGACCAAGATCATCCGCAACGTCGTTACCATCAGCATCCCTTTCCTCCTCACCTGTTTGATTTCCTTCAAATCCAATGTACTGAGCAAAGTCCGGAATATTGTCGTCTTCCACTTCATCTTCTTTCATTTCAACACCTTGCTCTCCGTTGGATGTCCAACAATTATAGCTTGGCATGAACCCCGACTCAAACAAGTGGAAATGAATAGTCCTGGATGCAGAATACTCCTTCTAATTCTTACACTTATTGCATGGACAACAAATAAAACCCTTTTGCCTGTTAGCTTCGGCCACTCTCAAAAAATAATGCACGCCGTCAATAAACTCTTTGGACCGCCGGTCAGCGTACATCCATTGCCGATCCATCTACATGAGTCGAAAAAAAATCGTACACAAATAATTATTCTTACAATAATGACAATCATACAATAATTATAAGATAATTACAAACTCTTTCAACAGTCATACAATAATGACATATCTTTATTCATACAAAAATTATAAAATATTACACCAAATAATTATTATTTACTATTTCTAAAGTTTTAAACTAATTTTAATGTGTTTTACTTCTTTTAATTTTCATTTTAGTTTGTTTTCTATTATTTAAGATTAACTTTCACTATATTTTCCTTCTCAACTATTTTATAAAACCTTCTTTAGCAAATCAACTAAATTTCTATATATTCTTTCTTCCCCCACACAAATTTTCTCTCTCATCAACTTACAACTAAATTTTGGAGACAAAAAAAGTGTGCAAAACATAGCTCCAAATGTAATATGGCAAAAAAAAACATTAGAGGATGAAGTTGCAAACCTTTTAGGCACCTTCGATTTGTATGTAATCACCAAAATAAATTCACTAGAAATTTTGGCATGACCTCTCCTCTTTTTTGAAGAAATTTTGAAGCTTGCTTGGGCAGCTAGAGGAGGAAGAAGACATATATATAGGGGTGGGACTTTAGTCCCGGGTGGTAACACCAACCGGGACTAAAGATCGTACCTTTAGTTACGATCTTTAGTCCCGGTTGGTGTTACCAACCGGGACTAAATATCCCGGGGGGCCTGACAGGCCCTGACAGCATTTGAACCGGGACTAAAGATGATCTTTAGTTCCGGTTGGTGTTGATCAAATATGCCCGTTACCCTTTTTAACCGGGACTAAAGATCATCTTTAGCCCCGGTTTTTATTGCATCCGGGACTATTGTGGAATTCAGCCGACCGACAAAAGATGGTTTCTCCATCAGTGAAGACACAATGTGTGTATGATAGGTGGGACCATATATTAATAGTATAGTAAGCAACTATTACTCTCTCCGGTTCCATATTAATTGACGTTTTAGACAAGGTTGATGTCAAATTTTTATAACTTAGACTATCAATAACTTTAAAAATATTTAGTTTAAAGGAACTAGAACAACATATATATATATATAGATTTGTCTTTTAAAGTACTATAACAAAAGTAAACATGCATTTATTTATTATATATTATAATAGAAAAATAAGGTCAAATATGTATCTTGTAGACCGTGTCATTGTCCAAAACGTCAATTAAAATGAAACCGGAGGGAGTATGTGAATTGGCTATAAATGAATTGGAGCTAGTAGTGGACTATACTATTAACCTGGCTCAAATGCCAAAATTGGCCTGTTCAGTTTCCTCGTAGCTAAACTCTTGGGGTCAAAAAAAAAAAAGTCCTGTTCCTGATGAGAGAGTGAGACGTACAAGCAAAATCAAGGGAGAAATTATATTAGCTTGCATGCCGTCCCTTTGTGGCTGATCCGACATTCGAGGGGGGCGCCTCTTCCAGGATCCGCCTTCTCCGGCTACGCGCCTCTCCCAACGAACGCCAACCCAGACAGGCTGCCTGTTCGTCCCCCACCACCCATTCCGATTCCACCGCGCGCGCACGCCATGAGCGAGCCGGCCACCACCACCCCCACCCCCACCCCCGCCGGAGACCACGACGCAGCCGCCACCGCATGCAAGCCTGCGGAGACGACCACGGCCCTGATCACCTGCAGGAGCAGCAGCTGCAGCGCCCAGCAGCAGCAGCAGCAGCAGCAGCAGCAGGAGGAGCCGCTCGGCGACGACCAGCTGGGTGAGCTGCGGGAGATCTTCCGCTCCTTCGACCGCAACGGCGACGGCAGCCTGACGCAGCTGGAGCTCGGGTCCCTCCTCCGCTCCCTCGGCCTCAAGCCCAGCACCGACGAGCTGGACTCCCTCATCCAGCGCGCCGACACCAACTCCAACGGCCTCATCGAGTTCTCCGAGTTCGTCGCCCTCGTCGCGCCCGAGCTCCTCTACGACCGCGCCCCCTACTCCGAGGACCAGATCCGCCGCCTCTTCAACATCTTCGACCGCGACGGCAACGGCTTCATCACCGCCGCCGAGCTCGCCCACTCCATGGCCAAGCTCGGCCACGCGCTCACCGTCAAGGAGCTCACCGGCATGATCAAGGAAGCCGACACCGACGGCGACGGCCGCATCAGCTTCCAGGAATTCTCCCGCGCCATCACCGCCGCCGCATTTGACAACATCTTCTCCTGAGAATATAGCATCAGTGGCATTCACATGCATCGATCGCGGCTGTTCATCAGCCGATCGCTTCGTCAGATGTTTGGGGGAGATCAGATCAGATCAGAATTCAGAATCAGATCAGTGGGGTAAATTTAGGTCAGGTGTTCTTCTTCATATGTGATCGAGCTCTTGTGAATAACGAATAAATCTTTGTAAAACAAACAGAAGTAAAACATACGAATTTCAGTTTAGAAATGAACTATTCGTGCATTATCTTTCTTCTCATGTTGGTCTGTTCTGCAATGGTCGTCCTCAAGCAAGGTCATTAGTGATTGTAGTGTAGGAAGGATATCACCAAGAAAAACAAACTCAAGCTTGTATAATAATAGTATAATACTCCCCCCTCTCTTTTATATTATAAGACGCTTTGACTTTAAACTGTTTTAAATCTGACTAAGTTTATAGACAAATATAGTAATATTTATAATACTAAATTAGTTTCATTAAATCAATAATTGAATATATTTTCATAATAAATTTGTCTTGGGTTAAAAATGTTAGTATTACTTTTTTTCTATAAACTTGGTTAAATTTAAAACAGTTTAACTTTGATCAAAGTTAAAGCGTATTATAACCTGAAAGAGAGGTAGTAATGTTCATCCTCCCTGTGTTGTTGGAGTTGGACGTTGGTCTCAATCATCTGATGGTGAGGTGCTGGATCCATTGCTGGATCGATCGTTGATTCAGTGCATTGCTGATCCGTCAATCTTCGTACTCCCAAATATAAAATTCAGCGCATTGCTGGCAAATTATTGAGTTTTCCCTCTGTCTTCAACTTTAAGTTTATTGGTATTCTAGAATTAATAAGTGCTGGACAACTGATATAGGCAATCATGCATACTCGCCTTTCATGAACTCGGTCTTAATAGCCGGAAATATTGGATGAGAATTTGTCTTGTCAGATCTGTCCAGCTAAAATTCCAGAACATTTTTTTTTCATTTTTGGATGAGGCCAATAGTTCCTCACTACGAATAGTTTGGAACATTTCAGATCTGTCCAGCTAATAGTTGCTCACTAAGAATCTATTATCTATTATATATATATATGGTAAATAAAAGTTCATTAAAAATCCTATAGACGCTCTTAAGCCTGATGTTGCATTCTATAAACTCCTAAACCGCCACGTGACAGCGGCGGCGGCGCCCCCTTCTCCTTGTAGCGGCAGCGGCCCCTTCTCCCGAAAGCAGCGGCGGCTACAAGGAGGCAGCGGCGGAGGCCCCCTTCTCCTTGCAGCGGCAACGGCCCCTTCTCCCGGCAGTGGCGGCAGCCCCCTTCGCCGGTAGCGGCGGTGGTCCCCTCATACAGATCCGGGGAGGAAGCGAGAGGAGGCGGTGCTATGCGCGGGTAATTTTTCCTCCTGTGGTTGAATCGGTGATGAATGTCGTGTGAGATTGATATGATCGGGAGGGGAGGAGAAGCGAAGCGAGCGCTCAGGAGGAGGGGCGTTGCGGCGCTAGCTTTTTTCCGCATCTGATTATTTTCGTTCTTTTTTTTTTCGCATCCGCTTTTTTCCGCCGTAACAGATGGACATAGAGATAGTGATAGAGAAGAGAAGTAGCAACTCTGTGTAGTTGCTTTGCACGGCCCAATAACTGCTGCTCGGCAGCTATAGGCCTCTAGCGCTTGCTCAAGCGCGCCAGCTCGGGCTCGGGCCGGAGAGAACGGAATGCTTCATCTCAACAAGGCCCGCGGGCGCATGACCTAGATCGAACGTCCCACACTTCTCCACACCTTACGCGACCCCGAACCTAAACCCTCTGCGAAACGCTCCTCCTCCGGACCTCCGCCCACCCTCCCCCAAAACCTGACCTCGCCGACAACACCCGGCGGCGGCGGCGGAGGCGGAGATGATCAAGCGGCGGTACTTCCGACAGGACCACGGCGACAAGAGCGGTTCCTCATCGTCCTCTTCCTCCTCCTCCTCGGGTTCGGACTCGGACAGGGAACCTGCGGAGGAAGCGGCCCCCACTGAGGAAGTAGAGGAACAGCAGGAAGAACAAGAAGATGAGCAGCATGTGGGGGAGGAGGATTCGGGAGAAGAGCAGGAAGAGGAGCTAGAGCCAGTGGTCGAACAAGAGAGTGGGTTCCTATAATTTGTGAGTTTACATTTTCTCGTATTTGCGCAACTGGGATTTCCGAAGTGACCACGTGAGTTTTGCTTTGTTTCCTCATGCCAACCAGGTTCAGGGTACCAAAGTGAGTACAGCTCCGGTAACGATGTTGATGAACCTTCTGCAGGTATTCTGCGTTCCTGCTGATAAATCTCAGCTTTTTGTGTGGACTTCTCTCATTCGATTTGGCGTATGAGAGATCTGGATGCCATCGTTATTGTTATTTCTTTTGAGATTTGCAGGAGTTTTGTAAGAACGTGAATTGTGGTTTAGATTAAGTTGCATTTTCTTGCTCTTCTAAGGACCTCTATTATGTTAGATTTCGTATGTTTGGCTGTTTATAGCATATGGAGGCTACTTGCCTCTTGCATTTATATTCTGCATACAAAATATTGGGCATTGCGTAATTTAACATCGCTATCTCTGTTCTTTTATTCCTTTTCATTATAATTTTGTAGAAGTATGATCATGCAGTGTTATGTGTAACTAGCATTTCTTTTACATAGTCTCTCTATATATCGGTGAACCACCACTGTTAGTTTGTGTTTCCTTCAGTGTTTGTGGTGATTTATGACACAAAAATTAAGTGCCTAGCTAATGTGGATGTAGTTGTCTTAAGCTCAGGGATCTCATTTTGGTACTCCATGGTTTAGCTTTTTCAAAAGTGTACTGTGGCTAGTATTAATTACCTGCCCCCAGCGTCCTTGTGCTTCATTTAGTTCAATCTGGGATCTGATCACTTTTTATCTTTCTGATGGTCATGTGGTACACTTCTTATCATTTTGGTATCAATAGTTCCTGCCTGGCTGCCTATCATACCAATTTCAGTATTTGCATGGAATAATGAGTTAATGACTGTTAGCAAAGATTCATATCTCATTTCTCAATGAAAGCTCATTAATCACTTGGCCTGAAGCATTCTATACCAAATCATCCTATGGAATGTGTTTGTAAGAATAATCCCGTGTTATGAATTTATTCTGAAATGTTGCCGCAAGATAAGTCTCTAAAATGAATTGTTTACTGATGGCTTTGCTTTCAGATAGTGATGAGCATATCATCCTAAGACATGAAGAAGATCCTGAGATAAATTCGTCTGTTAAGAGAGCCTCAAGTGGTAAAGCTGATTCAACCAAAGATGCATCTGACACGGATGATGCTCTTGAGGTTGATTTCAATAACTACATTCTGAAGTGCAAATCTGTGTACAAGTGCAAGCTTTGTCCTAGAATCATCTGCTTAAATGAGGAGATGGTCAGGGTACATCTTAAATCAAAGGTGTGTAATTCAGGTGGAAGCTAATATAAATGATGGGACTTATCTGGTGAGAAATACCTTTGTCTCATGTCTTAATTTTGGTTTGGTTCTTGTAGAGACATGCTCGATCAAAGAAATTGTTAGGAGAAGGTAGGCTTAAGTTGATGCTTAATAGTGATGGTGAGTTGGAGGAAGAGCAAGAGACACATGCTGAACGACATGCTCGAACTGTAGCTCTTGCTCAGGTGTTTGCCCAAATCATTTTATAAGTTTTGATTTCTTATGTGCAAAATGTTTTCGTAAATTAAATTTGTACTTGTTATGGCATCTAATTCTGATCATGCTGCTAAATGTTTCAGCAAGTACAAAAATCAAAGAAGGATTCTGGCAGGCAGCGCCAAAACCGAAGGAGGAAGAAGGTAAAGTCACACCCTTTTGCCTATGCTTTTGTTGCAAAGCACATATCGAAGGCTTTTTAGGCTTCATATAGAAAAGCCTATTGAGCTCAAAGCTTGTGCAATATCATACTTATCGTTTCTCTAGATCATAATGATCTCCAGCAGTACCAACACCGTGGAGATCATACTAGGATGATGAACATGCTTCAACAACAATTCAGTTTCTATTTTGTGGTATTTGCATCAGTACCCTCAATGTGGATGCTTTCCTCACAGTTATCTGCTTTTTTTTTTCAGAGATCTCAGAATCATGTTGAGAAGAAACAGAAGCCACTAACATCTGACAAGAAAAAACGCAAAATTGAAAAGTAAAGTGGATGGTCAGAAATGTTACAAGTTTTTCCCCCTTTCTCAATTCGCATATGCTAACTTTTAGAGGTAAAATCATGTGATGTTTCTCGAGCCTTTGCTGGCTGTTTTTTGGTGGTCGCATATGCCATCTTTTAGAGGTGAAATCATGTGATGTTTCTCGAGCCATTTCTGGCTGTGTCTGTGTAAGATTTGTTAGCGACAATTTGCTGATACTATGAGATCACGTTGAATGGGAAATTAATTGTCTCGCTTTTTTCACTTTCATGTTACAAGAATCCTATTTATGGTGAAAAAAGGTTCTATAACGTTTGTCAGAAACACACTCAAAAAGCAATGAATAAAATACCACGAATGCATAATAAATTTCCAAGTTTAATTTTTATTCTCTTGTTACGTTTTCTGGAGGAAGAAAAGTAGGTTTGAAAGAGATGATACTGGCGGTCATAACCAGGGCCGTTTGCGGGCGAAGAGGAGGTCGAAGAGTGCGCTTGAAAACACAAAAATGAAAATGGTGAGCATTGCAATGGGTCGATACCACCGTAAATTGGCTGAGTGTAACCTATCGCATGATTTTTTTTTTTAACCAACAGCTTTTTATCGGGAGTTTTCATTTTTATGTGACCAGGTAGGAACACAGTTATTTTAGAGTGCGAGCAGGAACTCTTTTTATAGTAGTAGAAAAAAAATAATGTAATCGATCAACATTACGGGAGATCAACGAGCGATTGATCTCTACGCGCCTTCGAGATACTATTTTCATTCTAAAATATAATAATTTTTAGCTATATATATGGCCATACCTTCTTCGGAGAGAAGGTAGACACATCAATTATTTCGCGTGTTCTTATGAGTTACGAGAACTAACCCAAATGTGAAGTTAAAAAAAATATAAGTAAGGAAAAAAAATAAATTTCCAGGTTATTTTTAATAATGTTTATTAAGCTGTAACAGCTATTGAATTTTTGAACTTGGTTATATAATTGATTCGAAGTTTATTTCCTCATTCTTCGTTGGTTGCCTTCTCTTCCATATCCATACTGCTAAAAGCCAAAAGTAGAAGTGTAAACGTCTCAATCTAAAACTAATTTTTATTGCAATGATCACGTTTCTTCAGCTTGTAAACCTTCGGCCTTGTTTGTTTTTGCTTTTTTATTCTTACAATTCTGCTTCTTTACAGTGATTTTCAGAGGTTGAATTATTAAAAGCTAATTCTGATTTGCCTCTTGATAAGAAAGAAACGTAGAATTTATATGATACTCCTAGGGACAGTTTTAGAACATTACTCAAAATCCACAAAAGCAGCTCCATATCAGCTTTTCGATGTTAGTAAAACAACATACTGCCAACTACTGACTCTAAAACTTCTATAGCCAATCTAATAGCCCATTTATACAATAGTTAACTATAAAAATATACTACACCATTAATACCCGGTCCCACCTCTCATACACACATAATATCTTGGAGTCCGTGTTGCAGCCGGCTATAAATCTGTAGCCCGCTTTATTATTTCTCTTCTATTTTCTTTTCTCGATATATGGTTATAGCCGGCTTATTACTTATTGTACCTGCTCTAAGAATCAAGCTGTTTGTTTTTGTCCTTTAAGCAAAAGAAACATGGCCTAGCCAGACCCGGATAAATACCTTCCAAGTTCCAAGCAAGACCAAGAAAACAATGCTAAGTCTGGCTTAATGCCTCGATTGTAGTGTTGCTGTGGTCATTTTTCAAACAACAGCCAAATACCCATGTGTTACAATGGATTTTCAAAAAATGCATTCATAAGTTTTAAACTTGAAAAGTTTTGTATCTGAATCCTAGAAGAGAACACTTAGCTCGCGAATAAACATGAATCCACAAATAACATTATTAAAATCCAAACGCACAAATTCCTATCAGGGTGTCTGTTAATTAGAGGTATGGAGGTGTCCATCACTTATCAGTTTTATTTATAAAGTACAGGTTATTTTAGGAATGGTTTGTGATAGTAAAGTATTTTGTAAGATAACTGTTGAGTGGTAGTACCACGTGGCTTCCTTTAAATTTCAAAAACATACACAAGGCTGAAAACTATTTTTTTTTAAATGTTGCTTCAAATAATTCTAGAAAATCTTGAAAGTATTGAGAAACTATAAAAATCGCCTATAGTAATAAAACTTATTTGTCACATAAAAAACAATTTTAGTTCTAGAAACTATTTTATGTGACAATTATATTTGATTTTGTCGGTGCATAATTTGTACTAGTTAAACTACTCTCTGCATTTTTAAAACACTACCTTTAGTTTTAATATGACACATTAGGAAGCTATGATATATGGGCCCTATGAAAATTTTAAGTCAAATTTTGCTACAGGACACTGCTATAGTGTGGTTTTAGCCGTGGGACACTACCCAAACTCACTTTTGAGGGAAAACACTTCATAAACGTGATAATTTGTCAATGGACATCACGCCGATTAAAATAACGATTTCCGGTTGAGGAGGAGAGAGAAATCACGTGAAATGTCAAAAATGCCCTTGGGGCCACATGTTAGCTCTCCATCTCTCTTCCTCCCTTTCTTTTCCTTCTCCCTTCTTCTTCTTCCTCCCACCGCAGCCTTCTTCTTCTTCCTCCCACCGCAGGTGAGCAGCGGCGTAACGCACAGTCGGCGCGACAGCTCGAGCCGGGGCGGCTCGGCGCGCGGCCAGGGAAGCGGCGGCGCAACGCAGGGGACCCACCACCAACGATGACGAGGCGCAGTGGCCACCCGGCGCACGACGCGACGGCAAGCGGTGGCACCGAGCACACGAGCACGGCGGCGGCACAATGTCGTTAAAATTGGGCACAACCGGCTACTTCTACACGATCTAGGGTTCATAGGGATGTCAATTTCACGATAATATAACCTATGTTGCATTGGGATTACGTTTACCCACAGGGAGCACAACGGTGGCACAATGGCGACCGGGCCGACATGGCTACGGAGGCGCCTGCCCGAAATCAAGGGGGCCACCGGCTTCTAGGTCACTAGGTGAGGCTCGCGACGTGCGACGTGGTGCGGGGCGGTGCAGAGGCGAAACGGCGTCGGCGCCCGATTCTTGGCATCTGGGATGCGACATTGGGAGCAAGATTCCAGCGGTGGCGATGGCGAGGGCGGTGCGGCGGAGCAAGGCCGGGTCGAGCTCGAGGCCGACGAGGAAAAGGAAGAACGTTGGCGTCGTCGAGGACTCCGACGGCGTCGTCGAGGACTCCGACAGCGGCGTCAGCGAAGTACGCCGTCAGGTGTGGAGGATGAGGTCCTCTCGCGGCCACCGGTGCCGACTAGGCCGCGCGCACTCCAGGCATCGCCGCCGTCACCGAGCAAGCCGCGACCAGGATAAGAGAGAAAGAAAAGAAAGAGAGGAAGAGAGATGGAGAGCTAACATGTGGGCCCAAGGGCATTTTTAATATTTCACGTGATTTTTCTCTCCTCAACCGGAAATCATTATTTTAATCAGCGCGGTGTCCATTGGTAAATTACCACGTTTATGAAGTGTTTTTCCCCAAAAGTGAGTTTGGGCCGTGTCCGACGGCTAAAACCACACAATAGCAGTGTCCTGTAGCAAAATTTGCCAAATTTGAATTGGGAAAGGATGTCAAACACGTGGTTTTAGAGTTGAGAGACTTCTACTTTTAGCCATTACTAATGCAAATTCGAGGTTCACAAAACTAGTACGGGGTTGTGTCCTTGTGGGCCTTTTTTTCCAGTAGAGTGTAACTACTTGCAACTTTCAAGTTGTGCCCGTGTGGGTCTTTTCTTCCGATGGAGTGTAACTATTTACAACTTTAAGAGTCCCTTTGAATCACAGGAACGAGAAAAAAAATAGAGAAATAGGAGAAAACACATGATTCTGATAGGACTCTGATATGTTATGGGGGGTCGAATGGACTTTATTCCTTCTATTTTAGCCATTACTAGTGCAAATTCTCATGTTCGAGGTTCAAAAAAACTAGTATGGGGTTGTGCCCTCGTGAACCTTTTCTTCTGGTGGAGTGTAACTATTTGCAACTTTGAGCGTCCCTTTGAATCGTTGGAATGAAAACAAACAGATAAATAGTAAAAACACAATATTCTGATAGGAATGCAAATGCAAAATAAAGGATTACAAAACAAAGGAATAACCATTTGATTCAACCGAAATAAAACCGTAAGAATTGGATGAGAGACATAGACTCAAAGCAAAATTTCCAAGAGGTAGAAGCTCTTGCTAAGTTTTCTCCAAAATCTCTATAGGATTGTTCATTCCATAAGAATTTCAAATGATTGGATAGAATTCAATCTTTTGTTTCAAAGGTCTTTTATAGGATTTTTTAATAGGATTGAAATCCTCTAAAATTCGTATAGTATTCCTTCAAATCAAAGAGGCCCTTAAAAATAGATAATCTCTAAATGCCATTTTTAAAGTTGATTCTATGTGTTTTGCCATGGAAGTGTGGTAACTAGTTTTTTTCTACTTCCGCCAACCTGGCATGGCACATTGAGGTGCTAACATGGACCACTAATGCATAAAGTCCAGCTTGCCCCTTCTGGAGCCCACCAATAAGAGAAGGACACAGACACATCACTTAGAACCTGATACACTCACAGCTGTAGGGTGACCTGTACTTTCGATGAGTTGAAGATAACAAAAGTTGTCGACCTGACTACAACCTATCATATGTTGTTATGTTGCGCCTTAGCGATCAATACATCTTTCTATGGGTTATTGATCTGGCCGGTGCATATCAACCTTATTCTTGCAAGTAAATAAAAGAAACAAGCAAGAACAAGGAAAAACAATATAAATTGCAAACAGTAAATAAAGCTCATGACAAGGGAGGTTTCAAAGATGAGTAACTAGACGGCCCTGCCAACACGCGCAATTACGAGGTAAAGTAACACTGGTTAAACTTTAAAATAACAAAACTCTGAAACCCTGAAGAGGTATCTAGATATTTAAGAGGTGGGAGGACGACTAAGGCATCCCTAGGGTCGTGGTCCACTAGGTTGGGGAGAACTCTACATGGGGCCGCACTTGGGTTAGGCCCTAGATGAAGTTACAAGTACATAGAGGCCATTATAGATGACGCAACACCTTATTCCTAGAGTGCCGCTAACTGAGATTGAAATTTGAGGCGATGCTGAATCCGTAGGAAATAAGGATCTGAGGGCTTTCCATCAAGTACTTATGGACCTAAAATGAAGCTCGTATGCACATTTGGCGGTCATTCGAAGTCAGTGATGTTATAGGTGGCCAAATTGGAT